CCAAGTTAACCTTTCTAAGCCTTGATTTTCTCCAATAGAGAACTCTGGTTCCTTCCAAAAGTAAGATTATGACCTCCTTTTGTATTTATATTTATGCAATAAATATTTAGTAGCTGCCCACTTAGCACCAGACACTTTGCTAAGTGCTGTGCAGTCGGGTAGTGAGTGGTTCTCCCAATTAGGAAAACAGCTTGGGATAGAGAAACAGACACAGGCTTTGTTGGAGTTAGTCTTGGGTGTAAACCCAGTCTCTGCTGTTGCAGCTGGGTGCCCTGTCCACGTTATTTTTCTTCCCTAAGCCTCAGTTTCTTCCTCTCAAAAATGAGAATAACGTTACCTATTCCATAGGGCTATTCTGAAGGTTATATTAAATAATTATTAGGTTCCTACCCTTCCCATTCTTTAGCTTTGCCACTTTGGCTAAAGACCAAAAACTACACATGACCTAAGGATAGAGACCGCATCTTAGGATTTCTTGAATCCCCTTTGTTGCCTGAAAAGTTGATACATCCTCATTCTGATACGCGAGTTGAAATACCATTTAGCATAGGTACATGGCAGTAGAGCACATTGTCAAAGAATCACCCATGTGCAGAGGGCCAAATTCAAAGGCTTCTCCACACCAACAAGCAATTCTCAGATGCCAGCAGAGAGTCTGAGAGTTCAACTCAGTTCTGTCACCTTCTACCCGAAGATAGAATCAAATTGCACAGGTAAAGGGCTCAGTCCAACAAGACTGCCTTCCACTTCAGACACCAGTAACAAGCCCGGGTTGTTAACCTGTGCTTCTGACCAACTGGCTATAAATCAGAGGTCCCGACGTCCCCCTCTTCAGGTTCAATTAGAATGGCTCACAGAACTCAGGAAAACCGTTTACTCACTAGATTACCAATATATTATAAAAGGAAACAAATCGATAGCCAGATGAAGAGATACATAGGCGAGGTCCCAAACAAAGGAACTTTTGTCCTCATGGAGTTTGCGGTCCAGCATGAGTAGCACAAGGAAGCATTGTGGTTCCCCAACATGGAAGCTCTCTGAAAAGGGACAAAAAGCTGTCCTTTGGGGTTTTATGGAGGCTTCATTACATAGTCATGACTGACTAAATCATTGGCCGTTGGTGATCGATTTAACCTCCAGCCCCTTCCCCTCCCCAGAGGTCAGCGATGGGACTGAAAGTTCCAGCCCTCTAATCACATAGTTGGCTCCAGGGATGTCCAGCTCCCCTCCTTATGTGCTTTATAAAAGTCACCTCATTAACATAACAAAAGACACCTTTATCCCTCTCAACACTTCAGAAATTGCAAGGGTTTGGGGAGCTGTGCAGGAACCTGGATGAAGACCAAATATATAGGAGAACTATATTTTGGTCTTTGGAATGACCAAATATATATTTTGCTTATAAATCACAATTTTGCATCCACGCATTTGGACAAGACAGTATATACGTAAATAGCGTTCAGGAAATCCCGGTATTAAGCGCTTTTCTTCTTACCTCTTTGAGTCTTAGGTTCCTCAACTGTACACTGAGTGGGTTAGACTATCTTCTGTGTTCTTTCTTGTTCTGACTAGCTTATGATGTTATGACATGTAGACACATTTTAAAAAATGAACATTGTGGTATTTTTAATTAAAACAGTAATTAACTGCTTCAATAATAGAAGTTCTATTTAAAAATTCTCTTTACCTTAATGAGACTCTGTGATCTTTTCCTATCTTTTTTCCCAGGCCTTGCTTTTCTACAAAGTTGTGTTCAATATGTGTGCTCAATTTTGAGTTCTTCCTACTTTTCAGTGTTACTATAGAGTGTTCCAAGTGTATCAGCATGGAAACTGCTGAATTCATATTGTTGATAAGTTAGGGAGCTTATTCCTTGAGAGACTGAACTTGAACTGTTAGTTTTTCTGTTTTTGAATCTGTGGATCTTGACTAACATCTTAAAAATAATGACATAACAGGGCTTCCCTGGTGGCGCAGTGGTTGAGAATCTGTCTGCTAATGCAGGGGACACAGGTTCGAGCCCTGGTCTGGGAGGATCCCATATGCCACGGAGCAACTAGGCCCGTGAGCCACAACTACTGAGCCTGCGCGTCTGGAGCCTGTGCTCCGCAACAAGAGAGGCTGCGATAGTGAGAGGCCCGCGCACCGCGATGAAGAGTGGCCCCCGCTTGCCACAACTAGAGAAAGCCCTCGCACAGAAACGAAGACACAACACAGCCAAAAATAAATAAAATAAATAAATAAAAATAATAATAATGACATAACAGTTTTCCAAGGCAATATTAAAGCAAAAAAACCCAAATGGGACCTAATCAAACTTATAAGCTTTTGCACAGCAAAGGAAACCATCAGCAAAATGAAAAGATAAAGAATGGGAGAAAATATTTGCAGACAATACGACTGACAAGGGATTAATTTCCCAAATATACAAACAGCTCATACAACTCAATAACAAAAAAACAAACAACCCAATTAAAAATGGGCAGAACCTTATATAGACATTTCTCCAAAGAAGACATACAGATGGCCACTAGGTACATGAAAAGATACTCAACATTATTAATTATTAGAGAAACGCAAATCAAAATTACAATGAGGTACCATCTCATACCAGTCAGGATGGCCATCATTAAAAAGTCCACAAATAACAAATGCTGGAGAGGGTGTGGAGAAAAGGGAACCCTCCTACACTGTTGGTGGGAGTGTAAATTGTGCAGCCACTATGGAAAACAGTGTGGAGATTCCTCAAAAAACTAAAAATAGAGTTGCCATATGATCCAGCCATCCCACTCTTGGGCATATATCCAGATAAAACTATAATTGGAAAAGATATGCATATCCCAGTGTTCATAGCAGCACTATTCACAACAGCCAAAGCATGGAAGCAACTTAGATATCCATCAACAGATGAATGGATAAAGAAGATGTGGTGTGTGTCTGTGTATATCTATCTATCTATCTACATATATCTATATATACACAATGGAATATTACTCAGCCATAAAAAAGAACGAAACAATGCCATTTTCAGCAACATGGATGGACCTAGAGATTATCATACTAAGTGAAGTCAGACAGAGAAAGACAAATACCATATGATATCACTTATATGTGGAATCTAAAATATGACACAGATGAACTTATCTACAAAACAGAAACAGACACACAGACATAGAGAACAGACTTGTGGTTGCCAAGGGGGAGTGGGGGTGGGGAGGGATAAATTAGGAGTTTGGGATTAGCAGATACAAACTATTATATATAAAATAGATAAACAACAACAAGGTCCTACTGTATAGCACAGGGAACTACATTCAATGTCTTATAATAAATTATAATGGAAACGAATATTAAAAAGTATATATACATACACATATATATAACTGAATCACTTCGCTATACAACAGAAACTAACACAACATTGTAAATCAACTATACTTCAATAAAAAAATAATAATGACATAGAATGGAATTGAAAATATCAGTGGTTTCATAAATGTTTGTTTCAGTTGAATTTGTGTGTGGATGTGTGTTTGCTGTTTAGTCATGGACTGCTTTGGTTCCCAAAACTAAGACCTTAAGTGAAATATAACTATGTATCCCCTCTGCCCAGGATGGATGTGTAAGAAACAAGTTTTTACCGTAATGATAACTTTAAAAATCCACTTAAATATAAATAGGTAAACCATATTCTATACCAAATAAAGCGCAGAGGGGAAAAAAACCTTACGTGTAAAGGGTATACATTTTTTAGTTCTTTGGTTCACATGCTTGCCTACGCTTTTCCTTTGGCCTTCTATTACATCAGCTAGCTTCTACCTGAGGAAAGCTAAAACACAAACACAGTCCACATGTGAGAAGCCATTATTTTATAATTAGCTGCCTTCAATTCATTTTATGATTCTGTGTTTATTCTTGACGTTCAAAGCAGCATTCATTTAATCACTCCCTCCTCTCCTTTTCCTCATTAGCAGTCATCTCATTCAGTTATAACTTTTCCCTGCTCAGTCATCTTCTTAAAACACTCATGCAGGCACTCACACCTACACACACAGCTACTTCCAATTAATTCAGAGGCTTTCTTAGGGGATGACTCAGCATGATTCATCAGCCTGTCTCTTTGGTGAACCCGTGTTACCAAGTAGCCAATGTATTTTTAATAGTTAACCCATCGCATAGGCTAAACAAGATTCAGGTTTCTTCTAGTTTACTGTTGTAGTCCAGCTCAGTTACAATAAGTATCCAGGCATGTATTAGGATAGGATAAAAGATTATGGAATTGAGGTTTAGAATGAAAGGATTCCCAGGACTGGAAGAAATTCCTGTGATTCAGAAGTAAAAGAAGGTTATTTTAAATTTAGTTCTATTCATTTACAGAGTAAATTTTGTTTAAGCAGTAGTTGATACTGAGAAAGTCATATTAACTGATAAGAGGAGGAAAGGTCACAGCCTGAGGATCACATAATGTCAGTCGAAACCAAATGGACACCATGATGTTTGTTTTCACCTCTTTGTAATGAAGTGTGTTGTGAACTTTGGACAGTGCCTAAACTATGTTCCAGAAGGTCTTTTATGGAATGCCTCCTCACCATGATGTACTTCAGTTATTAAAAGTGCATAAGAACTGAGTTACCTGAGTGAATTATTGATATATCCCTAGTGGCAGGACCCCACTTGAGAGTGGGGATTACTCTAGTTCCCAGTCATTGGTGGTATTTCCTGGAGCCTTGGTGGAGACTCAAGCAGAGTAGAGATCCAGGGGACAACTGGTGCTGGTTTCTCTGGTAACCAGAGAACTGGTAACAGGTAGTTATAATGGCTTGTCCTGACATCTCTACATTGCTGCCTGTTTTCATGTTGTACTTTTGCATCTAGTGACATGATGCATACATTTGCCTGAGTTTCTCAGTTGGTGTTGGAGGGCAGCTGTGAAAGTATGTTTGAAAATGTCTCATTGAGATCTTACTACATGATACACTTGGTTTTGTATTGCCTTTCAGAATTAAAGCGATAGAGAGTCCAAACAAAGAAGATGATACCCAGTGGCTGACCTACTGGGTAGTGTATGGTGTGTTCAGCATTGCCGAATTCTTCTCTGACCTCTTCCTGTCATGGTTCCCCTTCTACTACATGCTGAAGGTACGTTGGCTTTCCTGAACTGCCATTTTCTTCCATCTGTGTTTTTGCTTTGCGCCCTACCCCTGAAATAAACTCCATCTCAGGACCTCTATACAAGGAATAGGAACAGATGCTTGAATGTTGGACATCTGTGGCTCTGCCTTAGATTAATAAACAGGAAGACAGGATTCAACATGTCTAACTTATTTTGTATATTATCTTGGAAACAGCCAAAGCAATTGTGTCTTTACAATGTGTTTGATAGTAATAAAAGATGGAAATACCGTGAACTAGCACAAGCATTGCTCTTTGCCAAGATCCTCTCTTCATGCTCTGTTGTCTGTGTTTGATGCGTCAACATTGCAAATTTTACCAGGTCATCAGTCACTCACAGTGGTGTGCTGGAGTCATTATTTCTGGAAAAAAATACTTATTTCTTAATCGGTTTGGAAAAAGCAGACGTGAAACGGGCTCTCTGAGGAAGTCATTTTAATAACTCTGGCAGGTGCAGTAGTCTGGGATCAGCCCTGCCAAGCGTTGTTTGCCAGAGAACTCTCCTCGGCTACTACTGTGTGAGGAAAGGGAGTAGGACGTTGAACTCGTCCCTAATGGCACCTGTATCACCTCCAGCCTTGGCCTCCAAGGCACATGACAATGAAAAGTTTGCATCTTTTGATAGAGTGGTTGGTTCTTTTTCTCTAAATGGGACAGACTGTCTTCAGTTGATTCCTCAGGTGTCTTCCGTGGAAGAGGCTTGCTTCCGGTTAGTTGCATAGGTTGTAAATAGTTCCTCAGGTTCACCGACCCAGACTTCCCAAGCTGCCGAGGGTGGTGAGTCTAGCTCTTATGATGAATTCTGGGTCCTCTTCTTTTCCCTCATACTCTTAAGTATTTGCTTTAGTAAGGGTTACACATGACATAGTTTAAAGACTCAAATAGCTCTGGAAGAGTTTTGATGATCTACACTCCTGCCCCTTATATTGCCTTTCCTTAAAAGCAACCGCTGTCCCTTCATTTATGACAGATTATTTTGTCATTTACCTCTGTTTCTAAATAATATCCTTGTTAGTTACCTTTTAATTTTTATGTTTTACACGTTAGCTCTTTTATTTATTTATTTGGCTGCGCCAGGTCTTAGTTGTGGCATATCTGCGGGATCTAGTTTCCTGACAAGGGATAGAACCTGGGCCCCCTGCATTGGGAGCACAGAGTTTTAACCACTGGACCACCAAGGGAAGTCCCTACACATTAGCCCTTGATTCCCACCGGAAGATAAGGATTTGGCTTTCTTTCCTCCTTCCTCCCTGCCACACATGCAGGCTTGATAGTAATAAAAGATGTCCTCATCTTCCTCAGGGATAATTTTGGTTAGATAGGGCTTCACCGCTTTTATTATTATGACTTGTTAAGCACTGTTTAGTTGGGCCATATAGTATATATATAATGTACATGCAGTGTTGCTGCAGTTTTTTAGTTTCCCCGGAATCAATAATTGTTTCCTTATTTCTATATTTAGGCCTATTTTGAGTGTCCTTGTTATTTTAATTTGTCCTAATGTCTACATTTCTATTTACTTGCTTTTTAAATTTTCTACAAATACCTTGTTATTTTGGCCTGTAAGTTCCTTCTCCTCCAGGAGTATCAGCTGTTCCATCGGGTGTTAGAATGGAGGAGGCCACACCCTGATCCATGCTAGTCCATAAGCTCAGGGTAGGGGTGTGTGAGTCCTAGGGTGGGGAACCCCAGGCAGCAGAAGAGCCACAGTTGATTCCCTTCCCCCACTAAACAGCTCTTCAGGTGCAGGTGTCACCCTTTGCTCCCCCAGCAGCACTAGAAGCAGGTGCTCCTAAGTTGGAATTCATAGCTCTAGGGGTTGGAGCAGGAGGGCTTGAGGAGGAACTGCCCTCGCTACTTAGTCCCTAGCTGTTCTCCTTAGTGCCTCACAAGGCAGGACTTCTATGCCAAAACCTCTGTTTTAGAAAAAGTATAGGAGAATGTTTTTTAACTTGGAGGTATAGAAACAAGACAGAAATTTCTATATGACAGTGGGCAGTATAAGCGAAGATAAAATCATGACAGACTAGGAGGATGTATTTAGAACACTTACACCAGATAAGGGATTAATATCCAGAATATATAAAAACATTTACAAGTAAGAAGAAAAGGAGAAAAATGAACAAAGGTTATAAATAGACATTTCACAGAAGAGAAGAAAATATGAGTAGTCAGTGGTCTGGGAAACGTGAGTTAAAATAGTGAAATACCATATTTTGCTCATTACATTGGCAGGTATTCAAAAGGTTGAGGATATCTGGTATTGGTGAATATATTGGGAAATGGATGTGTGGTGGTAATGCTATAAATTGGAATAGCCTTTTTAAAGGAGGCTTTGACAGTTTCTTGTCAAAATGAAAAATGATACTCTAGCAGTTCTAAGCATCCATCCTAGGAAATCTTCACCACGAATAAGAGAGCTGCATAAGGACATTTACTGCAGCATTTTTGGTTATAAATAAAAGTTATTAAAAGAAAAAACCCTGCAGGGTCCGTCAACTGGTAACTGGTTAAATGAATTAATAGTACATCCATACAGTTAAATGAAATGATCCATTTGTAGATATAGAAATTTTGCATAATTCATTAATTATAAAAAATTATAGAATATTACAGTATGAAACCACTTATGGTAAAAAAAAAAAGCTAAATAGTTTAAAAGTTTAAATGAAAACATGGATGTTCTCTTAATTTTGAATGCTGTTACCACAGAATGCCTGTAACACAGCAGAAAATTTTTCCTTCAAAACAAATGGGAAAAAAGTTGGTCTGTGGGAAGATTTAAGATTCCAGAGATTGCTGGATTTTTCGTGTTTTTGTCATCCAAAGATATTTAGCATTTATAAAAATAATTTTATAATCTTTAATTTGAATGTCCATATTTTAAACTTAAAATATTTGTGAACCCCTTAATAAGATCCATCTGATGGCAGTGACGTGACATTGTGGTCTCTAACAGAAGGAAACTGGGCTTTTGCCTTGGGCCCCACTGCTTGCCCTGAACAGTATCCCGTCAGCAGAACCACTCACACCAGTATCTGACCTCAGACTTCCGAAACACAAGCCCGACTTCAGCCTGCTCCTGATCGCCTCTGCTAATGGAGGCCCCTTGAGGTAGAAAGTATCCAAAATAAAAGATAATCACCAAGTCATTTATATTTGATTTTGAAGTACATTACAAAAATTGCTTTGCAACAAATTTTCCTCCCGAACGGTAAAACAAATGCACATCCATTAGTAGTGAGTGTCCAGCTGTTTGATGTCACGGCGTCCAGAATGAGAGAGTGAATTTACCGCATATGTTCCAAATAGATAATATACTTGAGATGATTGAAAATTGATTATGCTGTCAATAAAAATGCTTTCTTCCTGCATTAGTGGCGTATTCTGAGTGGCTTCAGTGAACTGACTGAGAAAAGGTCTCTGAATTGCAGAGTGTGTAGGAGAATATCCCATTTTAAGGACTAGCATAGATCTTACCTGCGCCATTGCTACAATCACAAGGTGATTGTGTGGGAGGATGAAAAGGAGACCTGCAACTAAGGCCATGTTGACTATTTTATCTTTTGCAGAATTAGTGTTGTTGGCCTTTCCCCCCATTTTTCTAAAGCAGCCTATAAGATTGCAGGAATACAAGAAGAACCAACGATTAGGCATCAAGGGTTAGTCGAGACGATACTGTTCAATGTATTGAGCTAGAAAAAGTGGATCCTGCCTGTTCAGAGCTTTGCTCTGAGGTCCATCTTTGAACAGGAAGGTTTAAAAATAAATGTATTTATTTAAAAATAAATTTTTTCTCCGATTGTGAAAGTAGTGTATTTCTTTATTCAGCAGATATTTATTTAGAACCTCTATGTGCCAGAATCTGTTCTAGGTCAAGGGATTTTGGTGAATAAAACAAAATCCCTGCTGTCATACTGTTTGCATTTGTGTTGTGTGTGTGTGCATGTGTGTTGGGGCATGTTTTAGATAGGGAAGAAAATAGTATTTGGAAGACTACCACTGGTATCATCTTAGGGTAGTCTTCCTTTTCTTTTTTAATGTGCAGATAAATTGCTTGATGTAAGACAGTTGTTATTGTCTTAACCATCTATGTATGGTTGAAACCATATATATCAGGGGTCCCCAACCCCCAGGCCACGGACCAGCACCAGTCCGTGGCCTGTTGGGAACCGGGCCACAGAGCAGGAGGTGAGTGGCGGGCGAGCGAGTGAAGCTTCATCTGCCGCTTCCCATCGCTTGCGTTATCAGCTGAACCACACCTCCCGCCCCCCGCGGAAAAATTGTTGTCTTCCACGAAACCGGTCCCTGGTAGCAAAAAGGTTGGGGACCAATGATATATATATGATTCTATAACTCACTTTTTTTCAGTTAACACAATATTATGAGTATTTTCTCATTCAATATTCTTTGACATAAATGTCTAATCCATTATAGGTGATAATGTATTCATTCCCCAGTTAATAGACATTTAGGATATTTATCTTGCTATTTTAACTAATGCTACAATGAGTATCTTTGCACCTCATCTTTACTCTCATTTGAATCATCTTCTAGATTTATTTTAAAAATAAAGGTTGAATAAATTTTGGCAAGTTTAAGTCCTGATCCAGACCGTCACCTGTATCGTTTCACCCATTGACAAAGAGCATAACATTTCTCTTCTTAACTTTGTAGGAGGCAAAAAAGATAGAAAAATCTTCCCCTTCACATGTTCGTTTTTACCTTTCATTTGTGCATGCTGAGCAGTCTGTTTTAACTTTAGCTCATTACTATTCTCGCTATTCTCGTGGCTGTGTTGCAAAGGCTTCCCAAGGCTTCTGTTTTTGATCAAGTGATTGCAGCATACCAGGAAGTCAGTGTTGAAATACATTTTTTCTGGCATTAACTCTCAGTTCTCACCAGGCTAGTCCCAAACCGTGCATATTAAATATATCCCTACCTTGGAAATACCTCTTCTAGGGGAAAATTGAATAGTGACAGCATTAGAATCATTGACAGAATTATCTGGCCTGTTTTAATTTGTAATTTAAGGATTTAGTGTGTCATTGCTAATAGTGCCGAGAGTTGAGTTGAAATGGCATGGCCGGACTCTTTGTCTGAACTCTGTGTCTGAGTGGGCTTGTGTTTGCCATTGGAAGTTTCGTCAGCTGGCACTTTGAGGGCAGCTTGATTAAAAGGATGGCCAGATCTGTGTAGCTCAGGGTATTCCTCGGCTGTAGAGTAGTTACATAGATTAAGAAAAGGGACTTTTAAAAGCTGGTGGCTGAATATCACCTTGAGAGTTGAATAGTAATTAACTTTATTTTTAATACAAGAAAGTTACTTCATATGAGAACTGGAAAATGCTCACGATGTGGGTAAAGAGCAGTAATTATTTTATTGTCTCAAGACGATAGCTAGAGGGTACCAGAAAGAACTAACTAAACAGCCTGGAGAATAGCCTATAAAGTTAATCACATTGCAGAGGTACAAAAATGTAGACTCTTGGCTCTGGTCCTGTCTGGTAGCCATGCTTAATTCATCCAGAAAAGGTGAATGAATCAGCTTTTCTGGGTTGCTGAAGGGCTGTTATCTGCATAGGCAGGTAATATTTCAGAGATTTTTCAACAACAGTAAGAACTGTAGGACTTGGTAATACTACTACTATCTTGTACGTTTTTTAATTTGTGACTTTCCTAAAAATCCTGCAGAAGAGAAAATCGACTCTTAGAGAGGTTGTTTGATTTACCTAAAGTCATAGAACAGATACCAACTCTCCTGATTCTTAACCCAGTGAGTCATTTCTACTTCACCTTGAGGGCTATGGGCATGTGTGTCTACATCAATAATCCATTCCTGACAATTAGATATTCTACGTGGGAATACCAGCCAGGAGACTATTTCTTACAATTTTAAATAATAAAAATTAAAATGTATTACATGTCAATTTAAAACTCCCTGCCAATTTCCTAAATATTAATACAGCAAGATGCCCCTGTATAAATAACAAATATATTGGATGTTAGATGCTAAAAACTAAATCCAAATAGTTCCTGCGCTCCAAATAGTTAATATAGTTGGTGGGAAACTATTGCTTTGTTTGCAGTAAGTAGTACATGGCACATCCCCTTGGACACTGCATTCTCTTCACAATGTCCACACAGAATTCCGATGTTCTGTCAAGAATGTAACTTTTCCTTTTCCTGTATATCATCTTGTCTAAATTGTTTTATTAAGTTTTAGGTGTGTGTGTGTGTGTATTAGCGTTACCTATATAAGCAACTGATGGAGGGATTTCCCTGGTGGTCCAGCGGTTAAGACTGCGCTTCCACTGCAGGGGGTGCGGGTTCCATCCCTGGTTGGGGAACTAAGATCCCGCATGCTGTGTGTGTGGCCGGAAAAAACAACAACAACAACAACAACAAATGATGGAAAACATGAATGTTTGGATACTAAAAACCACAGGGAAATGTCAACTAGAGAGATGGTCTCTAGGGTCTGCCTGTTAATAACCTGGCTGTAAGCAGAGGACATTAAAGCTAAAGCCAGTGAAAACTGCAGTCACACTTAGTCACACTTAGTTCCATACTTTGGGTTAATGCAAATGTGTAGTTCAGAAAACCAGGTTTCTCTGGCACATCTTCACAAGGATGGCTGGCCAAGCCCAGTGTGTGCTGGAGCAGAGTCACTGGGAAAACTAAAAGTAAACGTGGAGCTGTACACACACACTAAAGACTGAGGATATTTCAAGGAACTGGCTTCATTTAAGAGCTTGGACCTGTAACAGAAGGTCTTACTTGCCACTGTGTGTCTGTGCGGGCTCACTGGAGTTTTGGGTGGTTGCACACACAGCTGTAGTGAGACTACGAGATGGCCAGTCTGAATCTTTGCCCTTCCCCTGCCTACTGCCATGCTTTCCCATCCTTTGCTTTCCTAACTCTGAACATCCCATTTTCAGTAAATGAGTTTTGGAGTCTGTCGCACGTAAGGGGTGGGAGAGGTGAAGAGAGGGCTGGCTTGGTATCATAACTTGGAGATTGTGGCAGTGAATTGCATTTGGCTGAATTCTCTGATATGGAAAGGAGGCAACCTTTGGGGAATACATAGAGAAAATTTTGTAGCTGTTAATAGTCACTGATTCTACTTATTATTTTATATTGTTTTCTAATACAGTTTGGCTTGAATATTTACACTTTAAAATACATTTTTTTAATAAATTACTTTCACTTTTTTTTTCTTTATATTCCAGTTAGAAAACTTTTTTTTTTTTTGGTAATTGTGTATGTAAATATGTCATGACTTTGAATTTCATTTCAGGTAGTAAAAGGAGAGGTAAGAACAAAATAATTGTTTAAAAAGGGTGTATGTTGGTCCTGGGATTTGATTTTACCTGGTTTAAAGCTCTAATGAGGTAGCTTGTTACTGTTTCACGGATGTTGGTAGAAGACACAGTATTCTTGGGAGAGGGACAGAGCCTTACTATGCTCGATGCTCAAAGTGTTTCTTATTTTCTTACAAAATCTGTATGAGGTAGATTTTTTAAAATTTCTTTTAATATATATATATATTTTTTATAGAGTCAAAACAGACTTGAGCAATTAACTTGCACAAGGTTTTCCCAGCTAGTAAGAAGATTGGAACCAGTTTTTCTGAGCCCAGTTCTCTTACCTCTATATACTGTAGTATACAATTCTCTTAGTCCCCAGTTTGTTGGGTGGAGAGATCTGTGTATATCGTTAGATCAAGGTTTTAAATTCTGTGTATTTTGCTTTGTATTCTTACTGATTTCTAGTTTTTTGATATATCAATTTCTGATGGAAATGTTAAAAATCGATTGTGGATTTCGTCCATTTATCTATATAATTCTGACTTTCAAGTTTATACATTTCAAAGCTATATTTGGAAGTGATATATAATTATAAACTACATAATTATAAAAATTAAAATTTATATAATTGTAAATATAAAAAATACAATGCTATATATATTTACGTATTTCAAAGATATATAGCTTCAGGCAAATTGTTCTTGACAAACTGCTTTCCTTCTTTATCACTGTTTACTTATTTCGCCTTATGTTTACGTACTATTAATATTACTATAATATGTGAGCTAATTTGAGAGTTGGTATTTGTCAGATACATCTTTTTTCATCTCCTTATTTTCAGTGTTCCTAATTGGTTTTATCTCTGGTGTGTTTCTTATCAGAAGCATATAGCCATAGTTTGTTTTTTTAAAATCCAGTCTGGTAACCCCTGTCTTTTGAAAGCTCGCCCCCCGGCCCTAATCTGTTTAGAACCTGCATTTTGTTTTGTATTTTGAGTGTCATAGAAGTTCAAAGTGTAATGGAAATTTCTCAGAGCCAACGTGGTACTGCTGGGGTGAGCTTTGGGCACAAATGTGTGCATTTTAACTCAAGCTCTCTGTCATTAGTAGTAGCCCCTTAGCAGGTTTGCATCTCTAGAGCAAACTTAAAAGACCATGTTAGAAAGGAACGTAGCTTCTTGATTATTTGAATACATTCTTTGATTTGGAGTAAAAGGACTGTAGAATTAAATATATATATGGCATAAGAAGTTGAAAGGATTTTACTTTAAGGAGGAGAAGTAAAAACTACAGAATTGGAATCTCAAGAAATGACTCCTGTTTTTTATAGAGTCACCTATGCTGTGTGGAATACAATATAGTTAGAAGCTTTTAAGCTGAAAGAACACAGTATGCTGTTTATCAAACATTCTAGGGAAATGAGCATATCATTCTGAATGTTCCCTTTTTCGCTCATTCATTATATTATAGAGGAATAAATTGCTTGGACAACTTAAAGTGCTGAGTTGTTTATCATTTGAATAAACAGTAAAGGTTTTTCAAAGTAAACATAGTGTGACAATTCTTGTTGTGTAAGTTTTTAGGGTAGAAGTCTTGTCAATTTATCATCTCAATAGCAAAGTAGAGCCATAAAGAAAGAGTTAGGGATAATATCTACATTCAAGGTGAAAGGTGATGAACAGCTGACTGTAAAGATTCCTTGAAGGCTAAGATCTACCCAAAACTGAGATCCCACTAAGGGAAGAATTCAAGAATGGCCAGGATATTTTTTTCTATAACAGGATGAGTAAAGGTGACAAACTTACTGAGGTAAGCCTGTTGAGAACAAGCCTCATAGATACCTACGTGGACAGGGTTTACACACACAAATACTATTTTTTAATTGATTAAGAGTTATAATTAATAAAAGTCTCTTGTAACTGTCAACTAAAAAGTGGTCCAAGTTAGGAAGGAAGTTAAGCTGCTGGACTTGGTGTGTTTTGCCTTTCTTTGTCAGTCTCAGCTTTCCCTTACTAGGTCATTATTTGTCATGTTTTTTCCATCTAAGAAAAGTGCACCTGTATCCTGCAGGAAACACTGGAAATGCTGTTGGGGCAAATAGCAGAGGCAGTGCCATCCCCAGAGTAGTGGTGGCAGCGTGTGTTGTCAGATGCCGCTGCCCTCTGTCACCATGCTGCCTCTCCTCTGTGCAGTGTGGCTTCCTGTTGTGGTGCATGGCTCCCAGCCCGGCCAACGGAGCGGACCTGCTCTACACGCGCATCATCCGTCCTTTATTCCTGAAGCACGAGTCGCAGGTAGACAACATGGTGAATGACTTGAAGGACAAAGCCAAAGAGACTGCAGATGCCATCTCTAAAGAAGGTATGGCTCGGGGACAGCTGATTCAGCGTGTGAGAGGACATGGGATATACTGAGCCCACGTAACAAGCTTCCTCACTTTGTGTCCTATAACCTTTCCTCAGCCGTGTGCCAGGGCTAGTCCGGGATCTCTTTCCCAAGACTTTGCCTGTTGCCTTTACTTTTCCCGACATTCTTCTGCCATGTCACATAAAACACATCATTCGGTCAGCACTTTAGGAAAAATGACTTTCCTTTGGTGGGTAGAGATTTCAGAGAGTCATCTGTATTTATACACAAGTGCCATCTCTTTAATTCATTTCAGGTTGAACTGCTTAATATGCTGTTCACACTGCTTTTGTTAGAGGGCCAAAAAAATGCCCTCTCTCTCAGCTCTCCTGATCCTTTCATTCAAATACTTATTTGTTGAGGTGCTTAATATGTGCCAAGCATGTTCATAGCACTGGGCATGAACCAGGGAACCAGACAGACCAATGGACCATAGTGAACTCATGAAGGTTACAATCTTGTTGAGAGAAAGAGAGAGACAATACCATTGAAAAGCAAGTTATATGGCATACTTAGCATATGATACAGAGAAAAAATAAGCAGATAGAAAGATAGGGAGCGCCAGGGGCTGAAGGGAAGGTTACCATTTTAAATAGAGTGATGTAGCAAATCCTCACAAAGAAGGCTGTACTGAGTCCAAGTTGAAAGTGTTAAGGGTAGGAACCGTGGGGAAGAAAGCTGCAGATAGAAGAAACGGCATATGTGCAAAAGCCGGGAGCGGGCAGAGTACGATTGGCAGGGGGTGACCTAGAGGGAGAGTTGAAGGAGACAAGGTCAGAGAGGCTGGGGAGTGGAGCTGGAAGAGGACAGATCATATAATGCCCTCCAGGCTGTTGTAGGGGCTTTGGGCTTTTATTCTGCGTGAGATGGGCGTGAGCTGGGGTGCCACTGGAGAATTGTGAGCAAAGGAGCAACATGATTCGTCCTCTGTTGGAACAGGCTTATGTTGGCCACTGTATTAAGAATAGACTGAAGGGGGACAAGAAGGAAATCAGGAGACCAGTTAAAAGGTTATTGCGGTGATCTGGCTGAAGATGGTGGTGGTGGCTTGTTTGTAGTGGTAGCAGTAGGAGGTAAGAAGTCAGATCCTTGATATATTTTGGAGTTAGAACCAGTAGGATTTGCTTATGGATCAGGCATGGAGTATGAGAGAGGAGTCAAGGATGAGGCCAAGTTTTTTTAGCCTGAACACATGGAAGGATAGAATTGCCACTGAGCTGGGGAAGACTGGGTGTTAACAGGTGTAGAGGGGAAAATAAGGAATTTAGTTCTGGACATAACTTTGTGTCTACTGGGTACATGGAGAAGTCAGCACAGCCAGGTGGATATGGATGTTGAGCGTTCAGGAGACGGGATAGGGCTAGGGATAGAAATTTGGGGGAGGGGGGTTACCCACATACGGACAGTATAATAAGCATGAGACTGGATGAGATCACAAGGGAGTGAGTGTAGTTAGAAAAGAGGAAGTCTGAGGCCTGGGCCCTGTGGCCGCCAGTATTTGAGATCGAAGAAATGAGAAGCAACCAAAAAAGCAGACTGATAAGGACTGGCCAGTTGAGCAAGCAAGAAAACTCGAGACTGTGGTATCCTTGGGGCCAAGTGAAGACACTGTTTCAGAGAGGAGGGAGGGGTCTGTGGTCACACGGTACAGACGGGTCAAGGAGGCTGAAGGCCGAAAACTGACTCTTGGATTTAGCAGTGAGGAAGGCACTAGTCGTCTTGACAAAACAGAATTTGTGGGGTGGTGAGAGCAAAATCCTGATCAGAATGGATTTTATGGGAGGAAGGGCATGAGAGAACATAGATTAGTCTTTTCAGAAGTTTCCCGCAGAGAGGAGTAGAAGAATGGGGCTGTAACTGGAGGAAGGTACTAGGGTCCTGAGGATGTTTTTTTCTTTTTCTTAAGGTAGAAGAAACAAAGTAGGTTTGAAAATTAATAGGAATGATCCAGTAGAGAGCAAAAAAATGATAGGAGTGAGAAGGTGAATTGCTGGAGCTCTGTCCTGGAATAGACCAGAGGGGACAGGGTCTAGAGTACAAATAGAGGGATTGGTCGTAGGAGCAGGAACAGTTTAGAATCATAGTGGGGGAATCAGTGTTGATGGGTGAAGATGCTGGTAGCTGAGCGTATGTGATGGTGAGAGCTTACAGAAGTGATTTTCACATCACATCAAATTCCTCAGTAAACTAAGAAGGTCAACTGAGAGAGGGTGGGGAAGGAGGTGATAGAAAGGGGAGATGGTATGAAATAGTTACTTAGGACGAGGGTCAGCAAGCTTTTTCCGTAACGGGTCAGATAATAAATACTTCAGCTTTTGCCGGCCGTCAGGTCTCTGTGGCATCTACTCAACCCTGCCATTGTAGCTTTACACAACACACAGCCAGAGGTGACACGGTGACCAGCGCGTGTGACTGTAATGTGCTGGCCGCTCTAAGACAGGGGCGAGTGGATGGACTAGGACAGTGTCGTGTGATCGCCAGGGGGCATTAGAGGCTCACGGGAGGTTTGTGTTCCTGGACTTACAGTGAGGCCGCGTAGTCTGCTAGTGTTTTCTTTTCCAGCCACATTTCCAGCTGTGTGGGTGCAGCTGTGGGATAGATGGAGAGCTGCGTCCGGGTTGACTTGGTTAAGTGGGAGCTCTGAAGGGGGATCTAACGAGTGGTTCATGTTTGATGGCGGAGGAGGGAAGTGAGGACAAAAGGGAAGTGAGGAACAGTGAAAGGGGTGATAGAATCGATGGCTTATACAACCAGGTGGTGGGGGAAGAAGAACTCGGAGTCAGGAAAATAGAGGGAGCGGGCTGCAAAGGTAGGAGGTGATGGTGGAGTGGGACGCTCGGCGCTGAGACCGGAGAGGGGCAGCCATTACTGGTTGTGACAGTGAGGACGTGCGGTAGGCTGGAGCAGGTAGGGTGGAACGTCCAGGTTTTTGGAGGGGAGGAACCAAGAGGCCAGGATACTGGAAGAATATCGTAATCACTGATAATTAAAGTAAGAGTAGTGCTAGAGAGTGATACTAAGTTTGGAGTTAAAATCTTAAAGAAATGAGGCAGCACAGCCCAAGGGTCAGTGGACTGGAAAAAGAAGGGCTAGTGGGAAAGATAATTTGATGACATGAGATTCTGAACATGGCCCTGAAGAACAAAGGATGCTTTCTGGACCTCCAGACCCAGTAGTACCAGGGTCATGGAAGGAAAAAACAGCCGAAACTTGAGAAAGCAGTGTCCTTAGGGGACAGCCAGGTTTCTGTAAAAGCAACAAGGTGAAGGAAACATTCAGAGAAATGGATGAGGATAGAGGAGATCTCGCTAATGATGGGACTTAAATTCCAGAGGGCACAGTAAGGGTTTTAAAAAGTGGAGAATGGGCATAGAATTAGAGAATTAAAAAAAAAAAGTTGTACAATAATGAGAAAGTGGGAGACAAGAGGTGACCTGGCCCCTGAGGAAGGAAGATCCCCCAGACGGTCCCCCCGCAGCTGTGTGTCCCCGCAGTGGTGTGCTCTCCGCCCACCCCCCCAACAGGCCGTTCTCTCCCGACGCCTACTCCTGGGCACATGGCTCCAGTCTCCTTCAGAACGTTTTTTAGTTTCCTCACATCCTCCCGCTTTGGGATCGCCAGTTCCTTTTTAAGAGATTTCTTAACTGTTCCTCCTTGCTCTTAGCCTAACCAGCATCCTCTGGTGATGTCATTTATGTCTAATTTGCCCACATTTCTTAGTCTTTGATTCTCTCAGATCTCAGTACTCTGAAATCCGATTTTACTTTGATACATTCCTAAACACAGGTGTGAGAATGAAAATAAGTTAAGAGGAATTTAGGTGCTGACACATTTTAGACTTTTCTCCCAGTTTCTGGATTCTCCAAAAAGGACATTTTTGCAAAAGGCTAGTTAAGAGAGAAGCTGCAGTTTCTGTGTAAACTTTGTTCAGCAATTTTAATTGAGTGAAGGGAGAGCAGCTGTCAGGCAGCTGGTGAACAAGGAGGGCCTCCTTGGCTGGCATTCCCCTTGGGGCTCCATCAAGAACAGCTGCAGTTTGTGGAATCTCAGGAGGCCTGGAGGCTTCCAGGACACGCCCCCCTGCCCCATCACGCATATCACACTCATTCTTACGGCACATTTCAAGCCACTTGGTAATTAGGCAGGGTAGGTGGGGCTTAATATCCCACAGATATAAGAATATTTTCCTGATGAATGTAGCTTCGTGCCATGAACTTGAACACTTACAGCAAACTCTTCCCATCATACAAGGAAATGGTGGCACAACGATAAAACATAAACATGCATATAAGTATTCCGTCATTTCTTGATTCGGGGAATGATGGTTTTCTCTGATTTTTGTCACCAAGGCATAGACAGCCGACCCTGTTGTCATCAGATTGAGACTTAGTGAAATTGTACAGGTGAGCACTCAGGCACAAAGGAGAATTTCTTGAATGTGTAGGGGACACTATACGCTCAAGGAATCTCTACTTCTTGTGATACTTAAAGGAGGACAGAGGGCAATGGCTTAGGTGACAGTCACTACAAGGGGGCTAGGCCAGACGATCTTCAGTAACTCTGCTCAAGTACTCAGGATTTGCCCTTGAAGAGGTCTCTTGTCCATTTCCGGGAAACTCTCCTAGCCCTGCCCACAAACCTCGGTATGTTCTCATCTGAGCATGAGTCATCCAAGCTGTTAATCTAGTAGCTACATTAGGCACAGAACCGCATTGCAGATAGCTCTGATGCAATTTTCTTTCCTCCTAACAGCCAAGAAAGCTGCTGTGAATTTACTGGGTGAGGAAAAGAAGAGCACCTAAATCACTGACTGGATGAAACCTTTCTGCCCTCTCTGTACCTTCCTTTTAGAGCTTGATGTTATATTAGGAACTGTGGTATAATCATTTTAATAATGTTGCCTTGGAAACATTTTTGATATATTAAAAAAAGGAATGTGTAAGTTTTTTTGCTTACTTTTACTGTCTGTATACACAGGGAACATTTAAATTTAATGCAATGGGCAGTGTCCAAGTTTTTGGAAAGTACATTTTGCCTCTGGGTAGGAAAACACACATGTCACCATCCTGCAGGAAATATAAACTTAAAATTATATATCCTACAGGCTTTGTACTTCAGTGGGCTCTCTCTGCATGCATTTTCTCTGTACTTTTAGGATACTCTATAACGGTCTACTTCGTGTAATGTACAATTTTGTATTAAATGTTTTTGTGCATACACACGCATACACACGCATAGGGAAATGTATTTGTGCATACACACGCATAGGGAAATGTTACTGTCTGTGCGTAATGCTCATGGGGAGCTCCTGCCAAAGGCTGAAGGTTCCACTGTGCTGGTGTGATCTGAATAATACTTTAGAAAATTAATACACATGAGTAATGTTTCGAGTGAACAGTTAAGTGATAAATGAGGCTGAACTGGAGGCTGGCCTGGTGGTTTTCCTGACATTGTAGCAGCTGAATACAAAAACAGCTTTGTAAAACAGTCAGTCGAGTGATAAATGGGGAAATGTACACACACACATCACAGCTCCCAGTTCCGCAGAACTACTAATATTGTCTTGTAGCTTTTTAAAAATTGGCTGATAAGCTTTCAATCTGTCTGTTTTTAAGATGCTATAGTGGAAACCATCCCTGGTTTCACCTTCATAGCTGAATAACATGTTGGTTTAGTTTTGTTTCTTTTCCAGTCTTTTTAAAAGCAGTTAAGGAACCTCCAGAGGCTTGCCCACTTCTGATTACATGTACATTCTTGTTTTTATCATTAGCAACTACATGCTAATGATGACACCAGGCTCTAAGAGCAATTCTCGGAGAAGAAAGGAAGTATGATATAACCCATAATCCAGTTGGCAGTGGTTAAGACAAACGGCCTTCACCTTCTTTCCCTGGCCTTTAAGGTCAAACACCAGATGCTTCCCTAGTTTACAAATCAGAATCATTTGTAGTCCATTTACACGCCTTCATCTTTATGCTTTACTTTGATAAACTGCACACAACCTCATAGTTTAAGTACAGAACACAAAGTTAAAATTAATGTCACTAGCTTGATTAGCCGCATAGCTTATAGGGACCTTGACAACTTGTCTGTACTACAGAATCTGAGCTTTGCACCAACCATACTGCTAGGATGCTTCTGAATTAGACTAAACTGACCAAAACAAGAGCATAACAAAACTAAAATTAAATATCCAGGCCTGTAAAATATTTCTTAAAGCAAATAAAGATGATTAGTTCCCTTTTAGATAACAATTAGGTAAAATCATAATGATGTCTCATGAAATCATTTCTCATGAAATATCAAAGATATCAAAAATAGGGGATAATATCACCCTAATATTATAATAATATGGATAATATCACACCCAATATTATAATAATATTTTTGGGGGGGGAATGTGATGATAAGGCATCTTATTAACCATACCTTAAAAAATAAAAAACTTTTGGAAAGCAAACAGAATTACTTGTTATTGGAAGAAAATCAAGCGTTACGTTAAAGATTTTAAAAAGTGCCTCTAGGAGTATTTAAATCCTTTTCCCCATAAATAAACTATGCTTTTCTTGGTGACAGAAGAATGAAAATTAGCAACTTCTAGCTAATCAGAATGTATAATCAGATTGTTAGTACACAAAATATGTAACTTTTAGTATACAAAGTATCAGGCAAGGTGGAGCATACAAGTTACTATTGCTCATAACTACTTACAGGCTAGTATCAGTTTTAAAACTACTATACTAAGAAAATTCTGAATGCAATATTTTTTATCCCTGTAGCTTTATCCTGCAGTGCATTCTGTAAGAAATTTTAGTTACTGTTTTTGGCAGTCAATGTGTACATATTAATGACAGGAGAACTTATGAGTTGAGCAATTCTGTCTGTTTCATTTTCCCAAATAAGATATTGCCATGGCTAGAGTATTTGAAAAACTAATCGAGCCTGTGTCTAGCTATAAGACAAGCATTTGTTTATACATGAGCACTATTTCGGGGATATGTAAAGGCAAAGAATTCCTACGACAATTCTTCTCCTACTTAAGAGCTTCTGATTGACAATTACTGCTACTCTGGGGAGTCTTCTGCCTACAGCCTGAAGAACATGAGCATAGCCTTTAAATAAGTTACCAACTATCCTGAAGATGTGATACAGTAAATGAAAATGGATGTAAATAAAATTCCGTTATCTCATTGAGCTGTTTTAGTTCATTTTATCTGATGGGGCTTAAAAGACTTTCCCTAAAAACATACCAACCAAAAAAAAGTTTCTACCAGTAATTAGCATGAGATGGAGAGGAAACCTAAACTACTCTTGACCTTTGAAATAACACAGGTTTGAACTGCACGGGTCCATTTACATATGGATTTTTTTCAATGAATACATACTACAGTACTACACGATCTGCGGTTGATTGAATATCCAGTTGCAAAACTGCAGCTCTGGAGAGCCGTTTGTTTGCAAAGTTATCACTGGATAGTTGACTGTGATAGTTGTCAGCTGTACTGCTTTCTACTGGCATAATGTATTACACACAGTCACATACAACTACTAGTTGGTATTATTATTGCATGTAAGTATATTTTGATGTAGTAAACACATATGTGCCTCCAAATCACTGTACTTTAAGAGACCAAGAAAAGAACTTGGGATTTTATTAAAAATACCTACTTCTGGAGGGCGTACTTTGGTCAGCTTCATCTCCTGCATTTGCTTATTACATGTCTGTATGTCTAGAATCATGGTGTTTAGAGTAATAGATACAATTCACATCCTTAGCCATCAAATATTACAGTTCTATATAATACAGCAGGAGAAAGTAAATATATTTGAGAATGACCTTATTTAAAAGTTTTTCTGGCTGCTTACTACAGTATTAGCTTATAAAGTATCTTTGTAAACACACACCTCAGAGAACTAAGAGAAATAAAGAGGTTATTTGGTCAAATTAGTGGTTCTCAAACTTGTGTGCATCAGGATTTCTTGGTGGGGGTTGCGGGATCGGGAATTGGTAAAACAGATTGCTGGCCTCATCCCCAAAGTTCCTGATTCAGGAAGCCTGTGGCAGGGCTGAAAAATCTGCATTTCCAACAAGATCCGAGGTGATGCTAATGATCCAGGAATCACAGTTTGACACAAAACCACTGGGTTAGATTAATGCTCTCTTTACACTTAGTATACAAAGGTTTTCAGGCCTGGGCTGTGCATTACAATCATCTGAGCAGCTTTCAAAAAATACTGGTATCTGCCTCCACTACCAGAAATTCTAACATTAACCTACTATACACCCAGGTGCCAGTATTTTAAAACTCTTCAGGTGATTCAAACATGCAGCCAGGGTTGAGAATGTGAAATAAGATTCGTATTTTTGGCAAGACAAGAAAAATTTAAACATAAAAATTCTTCTCTGTCCTTTGGTCTCCCCTCTCCCCCCAGTGTGCACTGGTACCCACATTATGCATTGACCAAAGCTCCCCCATTAGCAGGAATACCTGCTCAACCATAAATAGCAACATTCTCCTAGCATCAACAAGACAACTCCTTGAAAGATAACAGGCCTTCTTGAGCTTGTAAAGGTTCACATAACCCACCACGATGGCGCTTAGATCTGGATTATGAAAACTGTCAAGTACAAACACATCATTTAACATACAGCCCTGTCTTAAAAAAAACCATATATAAACTGTGTCTTGACTTCTAATGGGCAGAACAATTCTCAGAGCTTTCTGAGATGCTCTTCCCGGGTTTGAGGATGCTCAATCCTCAAATTTGGCTTGAATAAAAATTTCCCATTCCTTCTTAGATCAACTGATTAAATTTTTCGCCAACAAGAACTACTGGTAGAGACTACTAGTAAGGTCGAGAATCCCAAGGTCTGGAGAGTTTGTCTTAGCTCATTAGTTCACCTGGTGTGTTAGTTTCCTATTGTTGCTGTAACATATTACAACAAATTCAGTGGCTTAAAACAACACAGTTGTATTAGCTTACAGTTCTGAAGGTCAGACATCCAAGAGGTTGGCAGGGCTGCATTTCATCTGGAGACTGTAGGGGAGAATCCATGTCCTTGCTGCTTTCAGCTTCTACATGCTGCCTGCATTCCTCGGTTTGTGGCTACTTGGTACTCTGACCTCTGCTTCCCTTTTATAAGCACCTTTGTGATTTACATTGGGCTCACCTGGATAATCCAGGCTACTCTGCAGCTCAAGATCCTTAATCTCATATGCAAAGCCTTTTGTCATGTAAAGTAACATACTCACAGGTGGTTTTGTTTTTATTGTTTTTGGTTTTTTTCTGCGGGGGCGGGGCCAGTGGTAGGGAGAGCGGCCCATTCTGCCTACCCCACCTAGTCTCTCTTTGGGTACAGAAATTTCATTATAGTTACCCTCAATATCAAAACAACTGTAAAGAGCATCTTAATGTTGGGAGGAAACTAAAAAAAAAAAAAAAAAAGGGTTTAGGGAAGAACTATTCATATCCAAGTAAAGACTGGAGGTTTATCCTCTGGAGATAGTAAGAGGATCTTTGGAGTAGGGGACACAGGCAGAGTTAAGGGAGGGAAGTTGTATTAAAAACAGGATTGAGCAACTAAATGCTGAGACCCATTAGCCCCACCCTGCCTTCTCCCCCTAGGCTCCCAGATCTTTATCCTCCTGGAAGCTTCTTAGACTTCTCTCTGGGGAAGCACATCAGCCTAAGAGAAAACACCTCTGATCTTGGAAGTTTCCCCCAAAATGTCTCAGCCAGATATCCCTTTAGTGAAACTCACAGTCTGCAAGCCCTTCTTATATGCTCAGAACTTCCAATCAACTTTTTTGGTCTTTCACTCTTAAAAAAAAATTAAGGAAAGCCACTTAAACATGACAGGAATCTAAATAAAAACAATTAAAAAAAAAAGTGACTTGGAAGTAAAAGGATATAAACCATACCCTCTAAGAAAGAAGAAATTATATCCATGAAATAAGAATAGAATGCTAGAAAAAGGAAACATTTAGGTGACAAAAGAGCTTACAGAAGTTGAAAATAACAAGAAAAATGAAAAGTTCAATAGAAGGGTTGGAAGATAAAGCTGAGAAATTCTAGGAACTAGAACATAAAGACAAA